GCTTACCAGAAAACGCTCACTATTACAGTGAAAAAGTTGACCACAAGTGGTTTTATTAACAGAAATATACACAAGTATATTTAAACACAACATGTGAACAACGCTCAGGCTGTTTCTTTTCATTTTTCAGTCGCAAACAACCGGCTCTTGCCAACCACTCGTCTTGCACGTGAACATTCGCAAAACGTAAACATGTGCAGTGGCCTAGAGGAATATAATATTTTAAGAGTAGTAATATAAAACTGTGATAAAATGTTTTATTCTACCATCGTATGTACACAGCTGTGTTTTTACGTAATATCAAAGTAAATAAAAGTGAGCAACCGATCCGCGAATACGAGATTTTTACTAATATATAATCTTTGATTACGTGACTTCACATTTGATGATAACATTAAAACAATTGTCATACTACAAACGTTTTGTGGAACAGTTGACAAAATGACGGCGGAGAATGGAGTACTATTTGATGGGCAAAACAAGTCTCGTGGCTCTCGCGCCCAACGAGATCTCGGCGTCCATTTACGTCGTAATTAATTCAGAAATATAATAACTATGATAGCAAATACAAGTAATCAATGATTATACATACCTGTTCAAAAGATTTAAGGCCACTCTCTTTGCCAATATCTACCATACTCGCCAAAATGCCTTGTTTCACTACCTGGTGGTAACGAAATTAACAAGAACTTTTAATATGCAAGACTGATTCAGGTAAAGTCCAATACTCAGTCGTAGCGTCCTCAATCTCCGCATAGAGGGCGCTTATCTTGTGAACTCACGATGCAAAGGTGAAACTGTATTCGGAGGTTATATAACATATTCACGCGAACATTGGAGCTGTTAAGTGACAGCCAGTATTTAACACTCTTGGTAATAATGTAAGTACCTAACTAAAGCTGTGTATTACGACAAACTTCGGCAAAACATATATCGTATTAGGAAGGTAATTCAAACGGAATTAACGGTGTCGATATATATATTATTTCAGACTATTTCACGGAATTTGACTAGTTAGAAAACAGAACACGGGTAGGTATCATGAATATACATACCCCATTCGTACACAATGTCTCAAAAGATCCCGTGATACCACGCGACTCCGCCCATCGAGGCATGGTTTCAACATCAGGTACAACGATTCCAACTAAGCACGACTGGAATTAAAACATATCGTGTGTTAGTACTTCTGGGAGAATTTTCGATTTATGCAATGAATATTAATAATTCTACAAGTATTATTAAAGGACTGTGGCCGTCGCTCCACGCATACGCGAGATATGGGTCTCATATAAGCAAAGATGGCGACTCCGACTGTTGCGCAGATCGAAGAGTACAAACGGAGACGTTACCAAAGCTTTAATGAGGTATTTTTTTTTAGATGATTGGAAGGTATTGAAGGAGTAACCGGCGGCAATTAGTGCAAGTCGCGCCCAGGTAAAACCTCATACTTGTCTCAATATTTTGTTTGGAAATAGCTATGGAAAGAAACTCATCTACTCGTATTTTATAATTTTTATGACATCCGTTTTGCATATAAATGATGATATTGTGTGCAAAAGAAACTGGGGAAAATGTATGTTGTATTTCGTAATACTGTTTATAACCCACAAACATGAAATGTAATGTATGAGAGCACTTTGCCATCTCGCACCAAGGCAACAGCCTTGAGGCTGTTT